TACAAATACAATTGTTATAATGTAGATACATATATTATATTGTATTGTATAAATGTTATTCCAAATGCATTTCTGGAACTAAAATAAATGAAAATATAATATTGCTAAACTGGAGTACGCTCCTGCTAAAATCACGCATATTATCTAAAGCGTTCATAACTGTTGTGTGAGTTGCGTTCTCTTTACTGTAGGTGTAATGCCTTACAAAACTATCAAAATTGTTATTGATTTTTTATGGTTGCTTATCAAAATTTACATTTTGCTTAACCATTTGATTAAGCTATACGAATATAATTTTGGTAATAAAAAAGTAGACTGTATTTGTTTTGAAAGTATGTTTACTGGGCTGATCATTTCTTCATTCGGTACTTACGTATTAAACGGAGGCCACATTTTGTCAGCGCGCTGCGGCGGTTATGTTAGGTTGGGTTATCATAATAGAAAGTATAACTCGTCTGGTATCGTTCGATTCATAACGAAGCGAGGAAAGTCCTACACACATAATATTTACGATAACCCAACCTAGCATAACCGCTGCAGCGCGCTGACAAAATGTGGCCTCCGTTTAATACGTAAGTACCCTTCATTCTTTTATAATTACTCATTCGTAGATTGATTAATTGGTCATTATAAATATATTGAGTGATTCAAACAAATAAAAATAGAGTTTATTTCAGTGCAATCGTCTAAGAGGATTAATTGGTAATTGGTATTTGGACTAATAGTTTAAACTGTTTTTGTAATCAGGTAAAAAAAATATTTTTGTTGCCTAATACACTACCTTCAGACTTAAACCAGCATAATGATTTTCTTGCTTGAAAATGTCTACTTTAAGTTCGTATTCATTTGTGCATTGAAGCACAGACAATGGACAGCCCTTATCCGATCAAAGGAAAAAAAATAATAAAGGGGTATTGCCTTTTATAATAAGCTATGGATGACGTTCCCAAACCTAACGTTTTCTTCCCACTTACAAACATTTCCATTGGGAAAACGTGGATGAAAAACATGTACAAACATTTATCATAAGCAGATTAATTTGTGAAAAGGAGTCAAAACTATACCAAACCGTACGCTAAACTTCACCAATTCTCATTAGGGGCAATCTATTTTAAACCCTTCTTTGTGCAAAAGCATGACCTGCATTATATTATGATGCTGGTTTGACTGTAGTATTAAGAAATTGAGATTAATTTAACTTCTAATAGCAAAGCTCCTTATGAGCAGGGAATTAATGTAATCAAACATTCAGACGTGCCCTAATTGTGTTGAGAGATGTTTGTTATTGGAGTATTTGACACAGTAAATTTACCTAAAGTTTTGATACAAGGTGATAAAATGATTGACCAATAGCTTGGTAATTCTTACACTAAATAAGCTTACTGTAGCATGTTTTATACTTGTTAGCATTATATCCCAAAATATTTAAAACCAGATTTTAAAACAATTCTAACTATATTCCTTTCATAAAATGAAATATAGGCCTATCTTCAGTGTTTGATATAATCAATCCAATCCAGTCCTATTGTTTTGTTGCAGTCTGCTGCCTAGACTTGAATTAGTTTCCTGTGGCTTGGAGTGTTAAGATTGTATTTTGACGGATTTTCAAAATTATTGTGATCCTTGTAATAAAATTTTGACATTTAACGATAAATTGTGTGTTTAGTTGAAATAATTTAACATTATTTACTCACCTAATCCAAGCTAAGATTTGATTGGCCTAAATTTCCTAAAATGCGATGTTAAACAGCATCATAAAGTCCTCATAAAGTACCACAGAAAATTATTCTTCCCCTGGCCTCTCTAGTTCAACCAATTAAAACTTAAACCCGATTGCTCCCTTTAGAAAGTTTAATACCTTCATAATATTAAATATTATGTAACTTTATTCTAAATTATTACAAAAGTATCCTTATTCCTTTACAAATCCGTAAACAGAATGGTAGTGATACGAAAGTGTTTTATTTCCATAACAAATAGTCAACGTTCTACCAACTTATTGAAATATCTTTAGTCAATTTGTAAAATTACAATTTAAAGGCAGATATTTCAAGCTCAGTCTGAAGTAGGTCAACTTCATCATAGGTGATTTACTAATCAGGCAGACCATGTGTCTAAGAACAGTAGGGCAATACGCTATGAAAAGTCATGTAAAAAATTGGGAGAAGTAGGAAATGAATTTAACATTTGTAAGGAATTAAACAAATCTTATTAGCCTATGGAGTTTTGATTAGCTGTCAAGTTTTCTGTGGCGGTGTTACTTCCATACCTGTCAATTGTACTTAGCAAATCTTGAACACAATCATGGCATGTAATCGTTAGGTAATTGTACATCTTTACGTATAACCGTTTTCATATAATTCGGCCATGACTCTCTATCCGCCAGAAACTTTATAATTCATTGTTTTCGAATTCCGTGATTTATTTTATTGTTTATATTATGTTTGTGTGCGGAAAAGATTATGACGACTATTCGTAACTCGAAAATGAGCTCAAACCCTTAAATTAGACAAGAATATGAACTTAAGGTCCAAAACCAGCGATCGTGTATATAGGAAAAAACAGAATTGCTTGTAATTTTAAATTTTAAATTTAAAATTTACTATCATTTTATACATTGCACATTTTGTTTATAAATACTACAATACTATTTCAATATTTTCACTGTAGACCATACAGCAGTACTCTTATTAATTGAAACTAACAAGCTGTTTGCCATTATTAATTAATGCTACATCACACATTTAGGTAAATTGAATATTAAATAATCCACTGAAAAAAATCCCTTGACACAATCAGAAGTTAAAATACCGGCATCAAACAGACGATGGAATGTTTAATTACATTAATTTCCTGCTCAGATGAAACTTTGCTAATAGAAGTTTAATGAAGCTCTAGTTTTAATACTACTGTCATTTACTGTCAAGTCAACCACATAATAGCATGGACAAAAATAATTAAATATTTGTGGAACTATCATAGGTTCTAACGCACACCGCTGAGAGCGCCATACAGTTACGGCGTACATGCTACGTAACTACACGGCGCTCCTAGTGGTCTGCGCCAGAACCTATGGTAACCATGGAAACCGCAGCACGGTTGGCAGTCCATATCATAGACAAAAATAATTAAATATAGAATGTCAGCCGTGCTGTAGTTACCTTAGGTTCTGGTGCACACCACTGGGAGTGCCGTGTAGTTACGTAGGGCGTATGTCGTAACTACATGGCGCTCCCAGCGGTGTGCGCCGGAACCTATGGTAACCACAGCATGGCTGGCAGTCTATATTTAATTCTTTTTGTCTATAGCGCTACGTAACTATTATTATTATTCTATTTAAGAAACATATCTTAATATTTTTATAATGACCAACTAATAAATCTAAGAAACAATGTAATTAATAAAGTAATAAAAAAACTTACGCTCCAGTCAACGTACTTTCTAACCAATAATATTAGGTTTTTTAACATTTTGAATACAAAAATGCCAGTTGTATTTTCATCTAACCAAAATGTTAAACTAACAGTTAATTTGATGATGAAATCAAATATCAGAAGTACATTATAATTGCGGTAGCTTAGCACAACATTGCGCCTACATAACAGGAGAATGCAAACCACACAATAGTAATGAACGCAATAGTTACTCAATATGACATATATTAGTAGGCGTGTACTCAAATATAGCACTTATAATCACGTATTATGTATTTATATAATAGTGCCGGAGCCATATATAAGAACAGCATAAACAAATTTAATATATGTATAACGCATGGATTTTATAAGCTTACTAAAAGGAATTCGTTTAAAATTATTTTTAAATGACACTGAAAAATGCTTTGTCTGAATAATCGAAATTGGATTATTCCCATGACCACGATGACCATGATGATTGATTGATGATATACAGTTTTATGGTACGCAGGAGTTCCACGTTGTTGAGGCAAGCTACTCAATTATTTACTAGCATTGAAAAAAGGCCAGCAGGCATAAAGAATTGTATTAGTACCGTATTAATAATTTCAGACATTAATTTAAGAAGTAAATATCATAATATAACTGTGTGAAAATTGGCTTCCACCAATCATTTTTGGGTTTACCACGCACCATTTTTATAGATTATGATACCAAATTCTCTATGGGTAACCGACTCGGAAGACCCCAGTTTTCATCAATATGGAAATGCTTCATTAACATTATGTATCTGTGTTTTTATAAAATAATAATTATTATGAAGAAAAAAAAGTTTCCACAGAAACGGTATTCAGGATTCCAAAACGCCATGTTTACTAAAATAGTATCGTTCAATTTTGTTTGTAAGCCCAGCTGTTAACTCATTGTTGTCATATTTATCATCGGGTAGCTAAAATAAATTGTAAAGTTCTCACTGCCCCAACCTATACTTACGTATACAAAATTCTATCAAAGAACACCAAGTTAAAAAAGTAAATAGTTGAAAAATCGCGATTCTAAGTTTTGCAGGCCCGGCAAAATAAGGCTAAGTCTGGGTTCGTATAATTTTGCGAAAGATTATGATCTTTTAATATGACTAAACTGTTTCATTACAGCAAAATCACATTTTGAATTTAAAAAATCTAGCAAACTCTAAGCTTCGGATATCGATCGCACTGTAAGCGTAAATCTTTCTCAAAACCTATCCGGAACCATTATTAGTTATTAAATATTATAGTAATTGTACTGTTTGATAGATTCCTTTTAAAATTATAATGTAGAACTTATAATTTAGTTACAAAAATGAGTTCAATCACCAGTGTATAATACTATAACAATGTGAAAATGTTTAGGTATAGTGGGATGCGATGTCCTCATAGATTCAATTTTGTTGCATATCATGCTTAATAACCTTAATTATACAGGTGGCATACACTTGAACAGTGTAGGTAGTGTCATAATTGTTCCACATATGGATTATGTCTAGTCTTTTTTAGTTTGTAAAAGGTTCCAAAGTAACAGTGTCGTTGTAATTACATTGTAGGCATGCATAACTGTGTAACGGATAACTGTGTAACGGACAACTGTGTAACGGATAACTGTGTAACGGACAACTGTGTAACGGACAACTGTGTAACGGATAACTGTGTAACGGACGACTGTGTAACGGACAACTGTGTAACGGACAACTGTGTAACGGATAACTGTGTAACGGATAACTTCGTAAGGGATAACTGTGTAACGGACAACTGTGTAACGGAAAACTGTGTAACGGATAACAAACTTTGCGTTATGAAAGGACAAACGTGTTTTATAGTGAGTAGATATTACAGAACGTGGCTGAAAAGAAGACTTAGAGAGTGGAGCAGTGGATTTGCGGGTTAGTACATTTTTATTGTAACTATAAGTATAACTATAAGTTGGATGATGTAAGACAAATTGTATTTCAATGTAATATAGCACACAAGTGAACTTCAAAATCAAAATAATCATACTAATATTATAAATTGTGAAAGTTTGTATGTTTGTTCGAAGTTCAATCCCGCATTAACTACATATTGGATTGAGCTGTAATTTGGTAGGATGATAGCTATGCTCCCGACTAACATATAGACATATTCTTATGAAATCAAATCAAAAATACCTTTATTCCCAGTTAACATATATACATGCATGGCTTGCGTCACAATTTTTGAATAAAATACACAATAGACAATAACATAGAGATAATATAATGAATAAAATGTAAATGTACCATTTTATTTACAGCGGCGCTGTCAGTGATGGTGGCAGGCTCGGCCTTCGCCTGGGTAACTCAGATCCTTGTGACTTTAACTAGCCCTGAGAGTGAGGTAGGTTGTAGTATAGACAAATAGAATAAATATGGACTGCCAAAGGAAGGTTCCGCGATGTGCCGCTAGGAGTGTCGTGTAGTACGGCGCACACCGCTGAAGTTGAAGAGCCGTATGCTACCAGCAGACACTGCAGCGGTGGGCGCCATAACTACATGGCACTCCTAGCGTTGGACGCCGGAACATATGCTAACCGTAGCACTGCTGTCGGTCTAAAATTATTATATTTGTTTATGGTTGTAGTGTTTATCATTTATTGTAGTGCTATTCACCCATGTTAAAGCTCTCTATATTGCAACCACTCTAATATCCATTGCTCCCGGTTTTCAATTAAGTTGGCCACTTAACACAGGTCATCAGTATATATTATTTGGTGTTATTTGAGGTTTAATATTAATGTATTACCTTAGTTTATGAAAGTTTTACTCTAGTCTAATTCCTATAACTTTTTAGCGAATTTCCCATATAGGGAATAAGCTATTACCGTAGTACTCATGGTAAGACCTGGACCCGGGACCAATTTTTTTTTCGTTTTGAGGTCCCTAGAGGCCAAAAATACCATCCGTTCAAATTCATATATATATATATATATTTATATATATATATATTTATATATATATGTGTCCGTTAGCGCGATAACTCGAGCAAAAAAGATACGATTTCGATGAAATTTGGTACAAACGTGTAAACCTACGTTTATTCGAACGAGTTCGCGAACCAGCATGATCGGACCATGGGAACGGGGGTTTATGGGTGCTTTTATGGGGTAAAAATGGGTTTTCCCCATTTTTGACCTAAAAAACATAAAATTTTGCAATTTCTTTCCAAACTATTTTATAGAGCTTAAAAAAACAAATAATTTAGTATATTGAAGCGTTATAATACGCCAAATGGTTACGGAGAAAATTCCAAAAAAAAATTAAATTTAAAATTCCCATGTTATTCTTATGGAGAATAAGTAAACTGTTGTAGTTTGCTTGTTTATTAACATATTTTGCCCAAATTTGGAAAATGTTTTTATTTCTTACTAACTATTAACATTTTACATAAAAAACACTTTTACCCCACCCCCCCCCCCCCCCCGTTTGCAGCAAACCTAAGTAAAATGTGTTAAACTGGTTCTATTTAAATAGGGAATAAATGCGATATTTTTAAGGAGACATTTTAGTGTAAATCCAATCAGGCAAATGGAAATTCGCTTAGTCTGCAGGTTTGCTGCGGCGGGGGTATATTTTGATATAGCTTTAAACCATTTCCTTGTTTTTAGTTTTTGAAAACAAATAATGTTCTGTTTCACAAACGACGTGCTAAAAGGGTGGTCCATAAATAACGGATCACTTTTTATCAAATGTCAATCAGTTCTGTTTCACTTAGAATTATTATTGTTGTATTAAACAACAACAAATGTCAAGCCATTTTAGTAATCATGGATCATGGATCATTGGACAGTACAAAACCGTGCCTTTTGCATTGAAGCATATAAAAAAACCAATCTTTGATTGTTAATCAGCGGTTATTTCAAAATAATTACAGCATCCGTCATCATGGTGTGGTTACCTATAGGAATACAATTTATAGGTGGGTGTTTAATTTAAGAACTAAGGGATCAATTTCCAAGAATAAACCTCCGGGTAGTCAAAGTCTGTACGTACATAAGAGAACATCTCCAGAGTTTGGGAATCTTTTCTCCAAAGTCCAACAAGATCGGCAAGAACGCATTCTGTTGCTTGAGGTTGCTAGGACCAGTTTCCATCATTTTTTACATGTTGATTTGAATTTACATCTCTACAAACTAGTTATTGCACAGAAAATCAATCAAGACGATCCTAGATTACGCCTGATGCTTTTTCAGGGACTCTTACAGATGATTGGTGAAAACCTTCTGGGGTGGCTTATAATTTTACTTATAATTAAAATAGGCTTCAACGCATAGAAAATGTTCTAAACAATTAATCGGCCTTGTATCGACAAGTAATCAACTTTCAGGTGCCGATGACCAGGAACCAAAGCTCATGGATGGTTGCCATGATAGAAGTTGGAAACCTTTTAACTCCCTTGCCTACTGGCTTCTTAGTGGATATCTGGGGAAGGTAAGTTGAGCAAATTAAACATACACATTAGAATTAATTTTTAACCGTGATATAATTTATTTGGTTTCCAGTGACGAGGAATGCGTTCACTAGAGCACACCTAAACGGAGCTGGTTTAGGAAAAATAACTCTCACCATAACCTTACTTAACCAGATTATATCTACCAACTCTTCTTTCAGTTTATGATTGTCCCTTGCAAAATAAGAGTTGATCTGACTAGTGTATATTATGAGTGCCGACTCATAGTGACATTTTCCAGTTTTCAAAATTACCTAATTATCGCTCCAAGAAACTATCCAATGTCAAGTGCTCCACTTCTTTCCAAATATTATTCTTACCGATATAAATCGGGCCCGGACGGTTACCTGGAATTCTAATGAAGATAATCGTCAATTATCTTTGAAAATTCCTTACTTTGTAAGATTCTACTAATGCATGCATCAAGTGTTAGTTCCAATTCGTCTTAATAAAGAACTATTTGAGTTTCAACCAAACTCACCTTGAATTGATTAATTAATTCATTTGGCACCTATCACCATTTGGTTTATTTATAAACCAACATTGACATTAAAATACAATTACAACACGAATTTGGTTTAATACAGGATAATGTCATAAGAATGATGATAAGATCAGAGTAAATCATAAGCACCGGAAGGAAGTTTTAGCCACTTTTAATCGTTTTTAATAGGTGGTTTTAACCTCGGGGTTACAGAAACGTATAGGTAATTAGTGAGAATAACCGATATTATTAAGAAAAACCTTTAATTGAAGCTAAAGGTTAACTGAGTAGTTATTTTTTTAATAAAAAAAAAACAGAAAACAGTTGAACTTTAATGATTGCTATCATCTATGTACACGTTTTATTTTATTAGGTCTAGTCCAGTTTATACTTTTTATTGATTTTATAAATAGTACAATCCGTGGTATTGGAATACAGTATAACAGTAATAGCATATTTTTAAATGCAGGCTTACTTGTCAGTTACTTTATATGTCTTGTGTTGTACCCACTTAAAAACTTTTCAAACGCTTTTAAGTGGTCCTAAACACCAAACAAAAGTTGAAATGAGTTTCTGATTTTACATGAGGATAATATTTCTATGCTAGGATGAGCACCAATGTTCATAAAATGGAGTAGTCTTCCATATCTGTTGGCACAAACAACCGAATGAAAATATTGATCGATATATCGAATTAAATAATCGAAAAATCTACTTTTTCATTCTTGTTGTTTTTTCATCTAATTTTTCATGTTTGTGTCAACAGATATGAAAGTCGTACCCATCTTCTTTTAAATGCTAGGAATAATTTCCATTTTAGTATTTAATATGTATTTATTGTAGATTTTCACCAACAGATGGCGTTGCCTGATGTTGACAGCTCCTCTCTACATTCTCAGCTGGGTCTTGGTAATTTTCACCAGGAATGTTCACACCCTGTACATCAGCAGATTTATACAGGTGAACTTTAAAACGTCGTGGCAACGAATGCTTAATACAAATGTAGAGGAACATGTTTGGAACTCATTTGTTTACTTCGTAACTTTGTTTGGAATATTTATTATTGAAACAACTAAAATGGCCCCACCTTAACCAATGGGGACCTCTTACCTCGTACTGGTTTATGTTACTATTTAAAGACTGTGAATACAGTTTCGGTTTAAAGTCTCTTGTGCAGACCTATGGTGACTACAGTGTAAATACTAGACAGGTAAAACTGGAACCAACAATACCATGCTAATAAAATATCAGCTCTAAGTGGTCTATTGAATAGCCATTTTTGGAACTTTGATTCTGTTAAATTTCCCATTAAACATATTTTAATGGTATATTTCATCTACATTGTATCAATTATATCCCGGCCCTGGTGAGTTGGTGCCTTAGATATAACTCTATAAGAATCTACTTCTAGTGTTTTTTTTCGTCTGAACGGCTTAGCACTCAAACCCCCAACCCTAAAACCCAAACTTTGTTTTAAAAAAGTTTGTATTAAAAAAGTTACTTTTATTAGCTGTAAAATGTTTATGAATTTATGAAAAATTATAATCTGGTTTGAAAGTAGGTTTATAAGCCACCTCTCTTTATCGGATTTATTTCTGTCAAGTTGAATTATAGTTTTACACTTTTACTTAGTACAATGAGCAGCTCTTCAATCAATGAATTTTTCTGTCAAGAGAACATTCGATTTCCATGTTTCACTTGCTGTTTTATCATGAAACAGAAGGTATACAAACTAGGCAAAAATAGTGTGCTGCTGAAAGTAGTACTATTTTTCATGAATCAACGTTTTGATTGCGCCAAACTGAAACTGAAACGTGTTCTAAACCCTGTTGTGCCCACCAAACAGTAACAGTATAAAAAACTAGGATAACATTAAATATCAGGGGGATATTGCATGATGAGTAACTTACTCAACAGAATCCCTTATCTGATAATAGAGTGTCCACTTCTCTATCCAAAGTCAATGTTGATACTAAACATTTTCGCGTTTTCAGGGTATAGGGATGGGAGTGGTGTACGTGGTATCGCCTCTCTATCTGGGAGAAATAGCAGAACCCCGTCATAGAGGAACGTTGAGTACCATGTTTGAGGTAAAGACAGAAAATATTAATTCTAAAGTTAAATATGAATTTACTTTTGATCAGGGTGTTCAAAAAAGACGGGCCATATTTTACCTAGTGATTCCTTGGGTCAAAATAAAGAGAAAACCAAGAATGTATTTTTTACATAAACATTTTCATCGTTAAATTTTTTCAACCGATCTTTATGAGTCTTGGTATGTATGTTAAGGTAGAAAAGACCCATCTTATAAAAAAAATTTTCTTGATTCAACACAAAATTTCAAATTTTAAAAACTTAAATTACTCAAAAATGGCTGATTTTATGAAAAGGTATCAAGAACACTTTTATTTAGACTTTCCAATTTCCTATAAAATGATACAATGTTCAAAAAGGTCGAATAAGAAGTACCTGAAATATTACGATTTTTAGTTCCTAAATGGGGCAAACCTGACTAACTTCTGCCTGATTCTACCTCATTTCCAAAAACAATCGTAATATTTCAGCTATTTCTAATTATTTGTAAAATGGGTCTCTTCTACCCTAACATAAATACCAAGTTCCATAAAGATCGGTTGAAAAGTCTAAAGATAAAAATGTTTAGGTAAAAAATACAAAATGTTGAATACCTAAATAAATGTAAATATAAATGGGTAACGAAGCGATTTTTGTCAAAAAATGTTATTCTTGATTTTATCTTTATTTTGACCCAAGGAATCACTAGGTAAAATATGTCCCCACCTTTTTGAACCCTGTATATAGGCTAATATCAGACGGGGTTCATAATCAAGTTTAATATAGTTCAACAGCTGTTCCAGTAGGACGGGACTGTGTTTGGCATAGACAATAGGTTTTGGCCACTTATGTTTCGCCACTGCCTTTATAAGAAGAGATTATGACTAACTACTTAAAACTCAAGTACGCTACATTATGAGTATTTTCGAAAGTGTTCATAAGAAGAACCATACAAAGTATCCTTTGATATGAAGTATGTATAATCGTAAATGGAAAAATTATAATGGTGAGATGAGTATAGTAGTTATGTACCGTATTTAATATGATAATACTGATAGAACGGATCACTTTTTTATTATAAATGTATTGTCTTCCCCAGGTGATGTGGTACCTAGGTTCGCTTCTGCAGTACTGTCTGGCCCCCATAGTCAGTTACCACACGTTAGCCGTCATCTCCTTGTCCGTCCCCGTGGTATACTTCCTGGCCATCTTGGGAATACCGGAGACTCCATACTTCTTGTTGCTATCTGGAGACGAAGTCAAGGCTGCAGAAGTGTTGCTGTGGCTTAGGGGTAAATAATTTCTTCAAATGTACGATTTAAAAGTAACACATATAAGAGATAAATACGATATGAATTATGGACAGTTGGTAGCTTTGTGGGAATCGTTTCAACGTAGAGGTGGATGTTTGACACAGTTAAAGTTTGTTAAGTAAGTGCTATATCGGGAGGATGCAAGGGTAAAAGCCATATTTTTAATAAATGGAAAAAGAAAATTGACTACAGTTGAAATTGTATGCAGTTGAAATTATCGTTTAAAACGAAAACAGCAATCTTTTTGTAATTAGTTTTAACCGGAATAATTACTGTGTATTAGGGGTTTTTGTATTGTACTATGTACGCTATTTCAAGAGAAGCAACACCAATTTAGAATCCACAGCTCTGTCTATTAATTATTTTAACAATTTACTTTAACAACTTTTTTTGAAATTAAGCAAAACACTTAAATGAGAATTGCATATGAAAGTGGATAAACTTTATTCTGTTATTTTCACAAAACAGGCATTCACATATATCCAATCACTACAAAATTTCCCTGGTCTCTGTAGAAGCACTTCAGTTTGACCCTACAGTACATACATTGTCATAAAAATTATAAATAATTTTTATACATTAACACCACTAACATGTGTATCTTTAGCTCCAAAATGATGATAGGGCCTGGATTTAAAGAGATGGTCTGTAATACTGACTAAGATTTGTTGTTTTTTTGGTCAGGGCCATTTCGTAAAAGCCCACCTTTAATGGACAATTACGCATACTTCCGAACCATAAAAAGGCTCCTGACCTTTCCATACTTGCCTTTTCAATCTCGCCAACCATTTTTTGTCTTACTATAAACTGTCAAAAATCAAATGCCTTACAATATTCTAAATAACTAAAGTGTTGAATGATTAATTGTTTTCTTTTGCTCTCTCCAGGAGGGGAGACGTCCCGTCGAGAGGTGGAGGCAGAACTGAAGGCAATGAAGGCTTCAGTAGATGAGGATCTCGCTCAAAAGACATCCAGCTCTTGGTTCGACCTTGTGGCTACCTCAACCAACCGAAGATGCCTTCTTGTAGTTCAGGTAATTTACGATTTTGACCCAAAAAAATACTCAGCAAAACGGTATTGTAGAGTAAACTTAGTTTAATATTGACGTTATAACTGTAAAAATTTGCCCATCATAAAATATTAGGTTTATAATAACTCTTAAATATTTAATTTCTAGATTGTTGCTCTGCTAGAAGTCCTCATGGGGATCCCTGCTATACTGTCCTACGTCACAGAATCTCTGATTACTACAGAAGATGACTCATTTCTTAAGGTAAGTAAGTATGTCAAACAATAAATAGCAGTTACAAATATAATAACAATATTTGAACGTATTCATCAATCCCTATACGTCTTTTCTCCCAGCAAGTGTGTTGCCAAAGATTTCTTCACTTTCAAAAAATGGTTTATTTATTTTAATAAGATGAAATATATTTAAAGGCAACATACAATACGTTTCTTATACCAAGTTATCATAAATCTTTTTATGTAGTTCAGTAATTGAATTAAAACTCTTCTTAATACTCAACGACCTTGCTCCATTTTTACCTCTTGTCTGCATCACCAACAATATTTCCCCTTCCTGAATGTTCAGTTATTATCTAAGTAGGTCCATACAGATTTTTTATTCATTCTTCGGTTTCCAGAGTGTAATGACCCCTTAAATGACCCCCAAGTAACTTTCAATAAATATCCAAAAGTATATCGTTCCTTGTATCTCGTTGAGGGTTTAGATTTTTTCGAAGCAGTCTCGACAACTTGCACTATTGGGCCACACCATCGATCTCAATAACGACAAGATATAGAAACCTATCGTCCCCCTTTATCCTACTTTTGTTACCTGTCTTTCTCTATCGTCCACGCTTCTCTACTAACATTTATCCTACATGTTTCAGCCAGACCAATACACGGTGGTCCTCGGTGTCGCCATCCTAGTATCCTCCCTGATCTCTGCCGCCACCGTAGATCATCTTGGTCGTCGTCCCATCATCCTCTCCTCTTGCCTAGGGGCCTCTGTGTGTCTGTTCATCTCCGGAGGCTACTTCTATCTCCACGAACGTCACATTGTCGACGTCGCTGGATACCAGTGGGCCGTCCTTCTCGCCATCAGTTGCTACGGAGTCATCCTCAGCAGTGGTAAGTAGTTATCGAAGTTAACATTAACTATTTGAGATACAAGTGTCAACCGAGATAAAGAGGAAATTCCTTAAGATCGTGGGAAGTTATATACCAATACTAGAAAGAGTACGAAAATTTCATGAAATGTTTAATATTTTAATACAATTTTGCTATACTTTTGTCAATTTAAAACCAATTTTCAGCCTTTTAAATTTGTCTAAAAAACGCATAAACAAGTCAAATTATTCAAATTTTATTTTTTTCCAAAGTTTCGTTTTATTCAAACGGTATTTTTTGTATATATATTTTTTTCTATTAATAATAATATTTATTTTTTTTAAATGTGCAAAAAAATTAATAATCTTGAGATTAAAAGATATTGATGTTGATTGTTGAATATTGAATATTGTTGAATATGTTGAATATTGGTTTGAATAGAAAATAAATATCACCAAATTAAAGGATTGTTCAAAGTTAATGCTATTTTATATGTCTTTGTGTGAGAAAAAGTTGATTAAAATATTTATTAAATAAGTGCCACCAGTAAGTCCCACCAAATTTGAATACATTTTTAAGTAATTTGTTGAATAAAAAGATTTACAATTATTGAAAGTACCTATGTAAAAATGCTTCTTGATTATTATTTTGACATTTCTTTGTAAAATATACAAAAACAATCGATCTTAAATTTATATTACTTTCAATATTATTTTTTCATTTTCTGTTATATTATAACCTTAAGTTATACAAAATCTTTCTCAATTTTCTGTACGGTAATTTTATGTTGTTTAACTGCTCATCTAACCCATTCAACTACTCAAAAGGTTGACAAATATGGATGTGCCCGCAGGGGTTGGGGCTCTCTCAACCACGATTAAGAGTGAACTGTTTCCAACCCACAACCGAGGTTTGGCCAACGGAGTCATTACAATGACCAACAACGTGGTATGCTTCTTCAGTCTTAAACTTTACCAGGTGGGTAAAGTACTGGAATAGTTTTATAATGTATTACATTAATATCTCGAAAACATACATTATTTTCCAATATATTTTTTTCCCTTTCGAACAAAAACACTAACAATTTTTATCCTTTTCCAGGATGTCCAAGACAGCGTGGGCGTCTTCCTAAACTTCTGGATCTACGCCGGCTTCGGCCTCCTAGGAGCTGTGTTCCTCTACCACTACCTTCCAGAGACCAAGGGACAGACCTTTGCGGAGATCCAACACACCATGGACCTAGTCATGCTGAGAGAGGCGGCGGCAGCGAAGACTGATAAACCAAGTAATCTGGTTGTCTGACGAAGACTGGTCTGGGAGAGGACTAAGGAAGTAGCCAAAGCTGGAGTGGATGTTGAATTTACTGATAAGAGAGTACAAAGTTCCTAGAATAGAGGAATAACTGCGTCCCTCCAAAGAAGAGTGGAAATATTGAAAGGTCAAATTTAGCAGTTCTTATTAGGATGTTTATATTTGGAGTTGACAGGACACCTTGGATTTGTAGTTTAAGTTAAACTTTTATTACTCAAATAGTATTGGAATAATGTTTCATCAATCATTAGAGTAATTTTCGTCCAAACTGTATATGAACATTTATTTCCATTGTAATGGTGATTAGTTATGATATTATTAGATAAAAAGGAAATAAGCTTAAAAGATCAATTATTAAAATAGTTAAAGGTTTTTTAAATTAGTAAAATTTCAGTTCAATATTTTGAATTACTAATGCCAGTAGTAAAATAGTAAATGCAGATTTTTACTTGATGTCAATAATTAAATTAAAAATTAAATACGATGGAAGTTAAATCAGAGATGAATGTCACAAAATGCAAGTGATTAAATTGGTACTGTATTGATAATTGCAATAATGTTCTACATGTAACACAACTCTTTCTAATTTTGGCCAGTATTGTAACACAGTTGTTATACAGTGGTTATTTCTCTAGATAAGATGTTATATAATATTGTCAACTTATTAAAAGTGTTGTTAACAAAAAAAAGTTTTGACTATTGCTGTTTATTCACAAAAGTTATAGTATAACCAGTGTTTGACATTCAAAAATAAGAATATCAAGATTATTTTCTCCAACGAAAGAACAATGACTATGGCAGTGAATGCATAGCAGACGCTTAAGGAAGACTACGATAATTCTGTGTAAAAAAATCTTGCGCTGTTGCATACTGAATAAGTATACATTATACTTGGGCATAGTTTAACTCGATTGAATTTATTATTTTTATAGTGAACTTTAGGTGACACTTTATTATTCTAAAGGTCATGAAGAATTTAAGAAAATATTGAAATACCTTAGAGTAACTAACCGTATAACTTATCCGCACACAGTTCAACCGAAATTCAACTAATTCATCAGCAATTATAAAAGAAGCAACAGATAATTATTTACTGATTGAAATTTCACTTGTTGAAAACCTAAAATTTTTTTGTAGATTCTAAATCTTTATAATAACTATTTTTGCAGTAATCGTTAATATATAATTTATTTCCAAGAATATTTGTGCGACTTACCCAATAAACTAGCAAAGACAAGGAAACTCTTTTGAAGGAAATTAATCAGAAGTCATAAAAAACTCCAATTGACTCTCTCAGTTACACGAATCATTCAGAAAAGGTCTTTTTTGTAACAAAGTTAACATTTAAATAAACTTTTCAAATTCCTGAGCATAAATGGCACTCTAAACCATGTAAATTCAAATTCGAAAAACAATCAGGTTGACATACTAGCGCAAAAAGCATTAAATATATTAATTTTTGTCAGATAAAAGTGTACTTTTTAAAATGTTTTTAGTTATATAGAAAGTATAAACTTTTGCTGAGTATGCCATTAATCAGCTAATACGGACAAAGTTTTAGTAATGTATTTTTTCAGAATTAGACACGATCTTTGAAACTTAATTTTAAGAGATTGATTTACTACGGTAACATTGATCTACTGTCCAACAAATGGGGAGCGAGCTGGTGTAGTGGTTAGAGCGCAGGATTTCAGACCCTGAGGTCCCGGGTTCAAATCCCGCCAAATCACCAATTGATTTTATTTAAGTGATAATGCCGCAACCCCTAGGTCTAGCCTAAAGTAATGTGCAAAACAATCCCAGGCTCATGCCCAGCGTCATAGAAAAAAAACCAAACAAAAACTATCCATCAAATTGATCATTACATACTAAAAAAATACTCATGCATACATTAATAGATGTGTATAGCATGTTTATTCATGTTTCAAATACTTTATTTATGATATCATAATTAATAAATTAACAATAAACTAAACAATTTTATTAACAAAAATGGATGCAGTTATTTATTATTGTTGTTGAACAAGAAATAAACACTGTAACAGCTGATCAATTTAGTAGTGTTGCCAACTTGGCATAATACATGTTAGAAGGTGTAGTTGGTGTGTATTTTAGGGGTGGTTTTTGGGGTCTTATGAGCCAAGGATCCAAGAGACCAAGTGGAAGCAGGCTATGAGTGAAGGTAAGATGACTGACTATTATATATATATGTATAGTACAAGGCACACACGCTTTTTCTACTACTAGATTGCGCGCTGTCCATAAGAGCCATGTAGATATTCATTCGCGTACAGCTGTGTGGCGGGACGTATCACAGTGTTGCAGGCAACAGCAGCAAGTGCCGCGCCCCGCCAAATCTACAATAGTTTATTTTTAGAACAATCCCAGGCATTTTACTATGGGTTTATTAGCTTATTTTTTTATCAGATTCAGAAGTTTTATCCAAACTAATAAAAAATGTAAATGGTCAAGCTCTATAAATCAGTGGTATGTGCGCTTAACGTGACGTTGATGACACACACAAACATTACTGTTAATAAACTTAACGAAATAGTATACTCGTTGGGTTGGACACGTAGCCTGAGGCAAGTATCACTACAAGAGAAGTCCCTTCTGTGAAATATATCAGCAATAGAATAACATGTTACTTAAGACCTTGCCATTACTTTTAACTTCGGCAATTTTTACTGTATCACATATCCAACCAGTTTATAAGTTTAGTTTTAAGATTAATGATAATAACTGCAAAGAAAGGACTAACAAATTATATTAATAAAACTAAACAAAAATATTCAACGTATATTGGAATGAATTCGCCCTGTAATATTTTACTTGTACGAATTAGGTCTTTCATGTGTATTAGGATGAAATAATATACAATATTCGTTATACTCTATTGTGTCGTTACTAAATGTCATTGTAAACGAGTTAAGATGATATTATTACTTTTATATTTTGCAAATATAATGCAGTAATATATAAAAATTATGGTCCGTTTAAAGCCAGACATTTTAATGTAAATTGTGAGTATTATCATAATGATATTCATTCCACATTTCAAATAATAAGTTAAATAGAATTATTTTATTGAGTAGACTTGAAATGTGAAACAATCATTAATTTTATTTAATGTGATCTAGTTAATTTTATCATAGTCACTAAAATATGTTGGTTTTATTATTTGTTTTTTAATTATTAATTAAAGTACATGTCAGAAAATGTATGTGCATTACTATTTTTTTGAATATTAATGTTTACAATTTAAAATATTAAATGATAAATGGTGCTGTATAAAATAAGCACTGACGTTTAAATTACCTAAGACAAGTGAAATAAAAAAAATGTTAATTTAACAAAGACACTATGCAAGTGTGCATTGTCTTGCGTTTATTTGTTTTACTAATGCCTGTTAATTTAACTAAAATATAGTTGAAAGCATTTAAATAATATTTCATGATTGACAATTCAGAAATTAAGTTGAGGATTCAAAAAAGATCGAGTAAATGCTTTAGTTCAAACCACATTTGACAGAATTTCATGCGACGATATTATACACTACAATCTGATGTAAATAGGAATCCTATTTCAAATGCAAATTAGATTAGCTCACCTCGAGTGGTAAAAAGCTTAAAACCGAATTCTACCAAAATCCAATAAGACGAGAAACAGATTTTGTGGGAAAGTACTGTCCATTTAAATTTACATTTGCTTGTAATTTGATCCAAATATGTTACTTTTGACAATTTATCAACTAGGTCATGTAAAAAAGAGTATTTAGATTATTATTTAACTTTAAACAATAAATCAGACTCGTTATTATTTAGTAAAAAACAGTTTACCACCTGGGACCAATTTTATAATAAACTACAAGTTACAAATTAAAACTTGTAACTTGTAATTTCCATTAGATTTGCATTGGGCGATCAGCTGATTTACTAATAATATTAGTTTGTACTTTATTATGAAATGGGCCCCTGATCTTAGAGTTTAACAACAGATTGGAACCAACAAAATTTGGCTAGACTTTGTGGACACCTTGGTGCACGAGTGTCTTTGTACTTCTTGGTATTTGCTAGATTAAGTGCTACAGAGAGTACACGAGAGCCGCTATGACCACTTGATTGATTAAAGAATATTTATTATATTTTTTGTTTTGTTTGTTAGGTTCTGCTTATTTTTCTGTAGGATCATTGGTTTAATAAGATGTGTGTCATCTTATGAGTATGAGTATTGTATTTTAAGCATATTATCCATCTGCAGTTGCACACAATTTATTATTTTATTTGATGAATTAATCTGTAGTTCAATATTTATGGTCTCTCTATTGGTAAACATAATCTGGTTAGTTTAAGAAATAAAAAAAATATTACTAACTATTTTGTGGCTGGAGATTCTAGAGTTTTCTGGCTGCTATGTAAAGTTGAAATGATGTATTTTGCATAACATGGAAGAATAATGCAGAATACGTCTGCTAACTTTTAATTCCTATTTGCCTGTTGTCTAGACACAAAATGGAATTGCAAAACAATATGTTTAAGCTCAATTTCTTAGTTATAAGACTAAAGTATGGACCTTTGATTTGTTGCATGGTTTTAAGATTGCATAACAGGCCAAACTTTATTATTTGAATAACTACAATGTTGTATTTTTTTTAGTTATCTTGTAATCTGATGATTCGATCCAAAATGATGGATTCGCTATTGCCTTCACATGAACTTGGGTGCGATTAATTATGTGATATGTCTTTTACAAACTAAATAGATAATGACAATGTATTGGTAGCTTTCATTTTTCTCAAAATTACCTCTGCGAACTAACACTAGGACCTCTTCCTACTCCACCGAATTGAAAAGCAAAATAAAATACAGTTACTGATACTAGGTAATACCAGTTCCATGTCAAATTTTAACCTGAAGAAAAATAATGAAAATATGTTTTTACTTCTCATAATAATCAATAATATTCCTCCATTAAGTTTCAACTGAAGTTTTGAGGATATAAATGAATTAGTTTGATTTCCTGAAAGAGGTTCTATATGGAATATATTTTAATTAACCTTGTAATGTTCAAACTGTGCACTTTAAACTCTTCTAACTTATTTTTTTTACTTTTTTTAACTTTTAATCACAAACAATTTGCAGATTTTTAATCTAAAATTAATCAAGACACCGGACTTTGTAAGGACATTTTAAATATTTGTTTTATAATAAAAATTTTCAATCAAGGTCTAGTAAACGTTGAGAATATTATATTGTT